TTAAGAGGAATTGCTACATTTTTAATTTATTTTTATTACCATTTGTATTAGTGTTTGAAACTCACTGAATCAAAGGCTTTGCAACCAAAATTTCTTATCTCTGCCAAGTATAAGGGACTTTGTTTGTAATTAGAATTTCTTGCCTCCGTCAAGTGCAAGAAACTTAGTAGAACCTCAGCCGGTTAGAGCTCAAGAGAGTAGACGTAGACTTGAGTAGTAAGTCAAACCACTATAAAAAAGTTTGTATCTTTTATCCCTACTCTCTTTATTTCACTTAAAATTGTTTTATATTTATTATTTGGTGAATTGTATAAGCTTATTTCATTCAATATTTTTATTATTATTTTTAATTTTTCACACTTTTAACTTTCGCGATAAAAACGCAATTCATCCCCCCTCTTGGATTATCTTTTGGGACAATACTAGCTAGAGATAAGTTTAAGGTGCACCTAATCTAACACTTACTGTCATTAGATATAGGATTTTGATAATCTGAAACTCCCTTATACAAAATTTTCAGTAATAAATAGAAACAGTTTTGAAGGAAATAGTATAATCATTTACGAATATAAATAGTGTCAAGAAAGCATGTCAAATAGTTTGTCAAAATAAAAATAATTAATTAATTATGTATATGTCCCTTGTAATGCATTTATATCAAAATTTAATTCAATTTCAAAAATCAAATGTGTAAAGTAACAAGTCATATAAAATCAAGATTTATTTATAAATACAATTTATTACTCACCAAATCAATGGAATTCAAATAGTTTAGTCTTTGACAATACAGACTCAAAATGGATCTTCCAAGGAATCTACAATTACAAAAATAGTGAAAATATCTTTTTTAGGATTCTCGTATATTCACAAGTCTATTTTATAAAATTTTCTAATTAAAACCCGAGTACAAATCTCGGTTTTCATGCCCAAACCTTTATTAGAGTTATTAAAATCCCGAACTGATCAAATAAGTCATGAACCAAGTACTAAAGTCTTGAACCGGTTCCTTAAAGTATAAAATCAATTGTTTATCCTCTAAACCATTTATTAAAGTACTGAACCGGCCAATAAAATATTGAACTAGCCATTAATGTACTAACTGGCTCTGAACCAACTATTAATGCACTAAACTAGATATCTAATATCCTAAACCTAACTAATACATTTATGAACCGATCTGATAAAACCCTAAACTAACTATTAGAACATTGAACTAGGGCTAATATGCACTATTCCGGTCTTGTTGAGCACTGAACTAATCAATAGAACACTGAATCAGCCAAGTTAAGCATATAACCAGTTACTAAAGCATTGAATAAATCCAATAAGACATTGAGTTGGCAATCACAACTCTTTAAACTAGTGGTTTAAGCCTTAACTATCAATTTAGCCCCTAAACTTTTGTCAAGTTACAAATCTCTATCCATATCCAAATAAAACAAGTTTAAAAATTATTTTATTCTTGTACTATTTGTAATAACTTGAGAGTTACTAATCTGAATTACTGGCGAAAAATGCTTAAATCCACTTGTTTAATAGTAATTTATGGTCTCTTATATATTATATCATATCACACTCAAAAACCAACACGAGATATTATAGAAATATTAAAAAAACAACTTTACTTCATGCTCACTTGCTCAAGGCTTTGATTTATGCCCTAATACTTCTAGGGTGGAGCTCATTACTATATTCTTTAGATTTTAAAGCACACCATTGATACAAGTTGTAATCTCAATAGAGATATAATAATAACAGGACATTGGAGGATGATTATAAATATTTTAATAAAATAAATAAAAATAAAATGTCTTTAACTAAAAAAGAAAATTTTGATAAATGTATGGAAAATTCTGTGTACACACACACACACACACAGATATATATATATATATATATATATCTGTATGGGACCCGGGTGACGTCAAGCCAGCTTTAAATCCACTCTAGATTGATTGATGAGTATTCCAAGCCTATCCACCAAGATGAGTTACTCCATAAATATCTGTGGAGGGTTTCTGCAACAGGGAATCTAGTCGGAATGTCTCACTTTCCCTCTCCTGCTCTGAGATAATAATAAATATAATCTTGGTGGGGTTTGTCCAAACTGCTATTCTTAGTCACGTGTACATATATATAAATATTTTTTTTTTTTGGGGGGGGGGTGGTGGTGGGGGACCTATGATTTGTATCGTATACTACATATGATGATTAATTTAATATGTCTTGGATTTTGGGAGGTGATGGATCAAGAGCATGCTGATGCAGATATAAGATCTTGGTGGGGCCTCTGATTAATAATCTTAGAAAGATAGGATTATGGAATAATTCTTGATTAGTTGCTTTTCCAATTGATGTGAACTCTTCAAGTCGCTTAATCAAATGGCCTTTTTGATTTTATTACTATAAGCGGCTTTTGCAATCATTGACTTTAATCAAGCTAGATTCAGAAACCATAAGCTCTCTTTCCACCATTAAAGAGATTAAACCACTTAGATTAATATAAGAAAATCAAAATAATTGCACACGTTGGAAGATCACGGAGAACTCTAAAAAGCTGAGACTAATATTCTAGATATGCTTACTTAAGCCCGCGTGATTAATTGCTTTGGTTAAGCTGATTATAACTCCTCTATTAGCTTAGGAATTTGCAATCCATTTCCCACTTTCATAATCGAATTAAGTCTTCGTTTCTTGCATGGATATAGGCCTTAGATCCCAATTTACTTTATAGAATATAAAATTTTTAAGTACTAAAGAATCACTGATCGAATGCAACTCCACTCAGTCATTACTTTAGTCTAGTCTTATCCAATATGCATGGATGGATAAGTGTGATTTGAATGCACACATATTTTCCCAGAGATGGAAAGTAAATCGGAATTTTTCTTGTTTTAAAAAAGGAAGAAGAAATAGAGAGAGAGAGTGATCATTGATTTAAGATTGGGGGATGACCCAAAAGCCACTAGTAGAGAAAAGTGAGATTTAATACTAGGTAAAGTTTAAATAAAGATAGTGATACTATCCTCATAAAATCACTTTAGATATTAAAAATCTTATAAAATATGTTATGGAATTGTGGGAAATAACCGTATAAAAAAATAATAATAATTCTCAACTAGCTAACTACAAATACGCTCTCAATGAGATAATTAATTATTCAAAATTATTTAAAAAACTAAATTATATTACCCAAATAAGGGTTGCAGTTTATAAACATTACCATTTAGTAAACTTCAAATAACTATGTGAATTTATTAATAAATATACATACATATATATATATATAAGCAAAATCTCACATATGAAAGTAGTTGTATTATATTCTAATTAGCATGAAAACAAATATAACTTTGTTAACTTATGTGAAGATGAAAAAATCAAAATAGTTATATTTAAAAAATATAAATACATATTTTTATCTTATCTAGTATAAATTATTAAGTAATAATTAAAAAAAGAAAGCGCACGAGTAACCTTTCCGACAATCAACATCAACTTTAAAGAGTCCCCCACATAATCAATTTTTTAAAGGAAAAAACGTTAAAAAAGGGATGGGCCGGCGCGGGTTAGACTTTGCTACCACGAGGAGAGGCTGCGAGAAAGGGACAGTCACCCACGAACTGATCGACCATCCTGTTTGGCCTGATTCAAAATCGCCGGAGATGAGCTCTACTTCTACCAATCGCGTGGATGAGCTAAGGATAGATTTGACACGTGGCGGCGGAGGATGAGCTGCACTTCTACCAATCGCCGCCGAAAGAATAAATGTATTTCGTGGGAACCATCTATCAATATGATCGACCGCAACTTCACTAGCGTCATAATTAATTTTACCTGCTAGAATGGGGAAGGGGAAGAGGAGGAAACTTCGATAAAGATCTGAATTCCTTCATTTGGCAATTAAAACTCGTGTAAATAGTGAGATAACAATGATACAAAATTAACCTCATTCATTAATTTTGATTAAATTAATAGTGTAAAATTTAATATAAAATTTTTATACTTATACTCGATAAAATCAATTGACACTTAATATAAATATAAAAAATTTAAACTAAATCTTATACTATTAATTTAGTCAAAATCAATAATTTAAATTAATTAACTATAATTAATTTTTAAAAATTATTAAAAAATAATTATAATTAATCTCATAAATTAATTTTAACCATATCAACAATATAAAATTTAATATAAATATTTTACACTTACACTCCGTACCTATTAATCCCTTCTTTCATTCTTAAATTTACATTCAAATTTTTTAAGTTAAAACGAGAATAAATTTCATCTTCCATTATTTTTGTTTTCACTTCTCAGCGCCTTTATTCAAGCCGATGAATTACTCTCCTGTTCCCCTTCCACTTTTTGGAGCTTGTTTTCCTTCTTTTAAGATTATGTATGAAAGAAACACCACTAACACAACAGATAAATTCTACAGCAATATCAAAAAGGTGAGAATACAGTACATTTTTAATTCCAAAAAAAAAAGTTGTATTTATTTTTTAAAGGACCTAACAAAGTTCCACCATCCAAGCAAATTGCTAATTGAAGAGATCAACGAAGTCTCAAGGACAGCACCTTATTGACACGAGGGGGAACAGAAATTGTATTAAAAAAAAACAAAAAAAGTGCAGCATTTACGGCAGCTGAATAAAGAATCTGTATACAGCTAAGCATGCCCTCAAACCATTCCACCGCTTTTCACACAGCCTGCCTTTCAGATACATCAACTTGAATGACATTATATATACGAAGAGCACCAAAAAATAAATAAATAAAACGTGCAACAAGTTCATTGAGTCACAACAATGATCTCCCTAGATTTTTATTCATTTATCTATTCTTACTTTAAATTTCAACTACCCGAGAAGAATAACATCATACTTACTCAGATGGGGTAATATTTGATGTTACATGGATTTCGGGGGAAAAAATAATGAAGTCAATGAACAATAATGGATTGTTCTCAGAATGAAAAGAGATCAAAAATTGACTTACTTCTCCCCGTGTTGATCACCCCCAAAAGCCAGATCAAATATTTGACTGTAGTCATCTACAAAGTGAACTTCAAGTCCGTCCTTCACATTAATAGCAAGCTCGTCAAAATCTCTTCGGTTAGCTGAAGGAAATATGAGGGTTTTCACGTCGCTGCGTCTTGCTGCTATTGTCTTCTCTTTAACCTGGTTTTGTAGAAAATAAGACAGCATTTAATATGCGGTGCAATAAATACATTCAAACTATAGTTGTCCAATACAATACACAAATTGGAGTAAAATCCACAAACCAACAATAGTTGGGGGTGATAATTAAAAAAATAACTTTCTTGACAGTTTCCCAAGATTTTTTTCAGGGAGTCTCCATTTCCATACATTAACTAACTTCATTAGGGACATAAAAGCCAATCAAGAGCTATTAAGCTATACATTGTATTGCAATACTCTTTAACAGACCTCAAGCATGTGTAAAAAGGTCATGGAACTGGGTTAGCTTGTAGAATTACAGCTATAAAAGAGTCAAAGCCTAGTTCCCTAACACACCGTCAAAAATGAGAAAACATTCCTTGCAAGGAGAATTATACAGGGCAGCAACAATACTAGTATCATAGGCCCATTAAAAGCATTATAATATATTTAGACAAAATGCCAAAAAAGAAAAAGAAAATGAAATTTAACGGGAAATATCAAGGACAAATAAGTTATGATTATCTTAACATACCCCACCAATTGGAAGGATCCTTCCTGTTAATGTTACTTCCCCAGTCATTGCTAGGTCCTTCCTGACAGATTTCTTCATGGCAAGAGAGAGTAAGGATGTGATCATGGTACAACCAGCACTAGGCCCATCCTTAGGTGTGGCTCCTGCAGGAACATGAAGATGAAGCTTCGAATTGGCAAAGAATGGATTATCTGGCACTTTCTCACTCAGTATTGCTCTGGCAACAGTGTGAGCAATCTGGGCACTTTCTTTCATCACATCTCCAAGTTGCCCAGTAAGATGTAAAGCACCTTTTCCTTCCCCTTGCTCAACCTGAGTGGTCTCTATATAAAGGGTGGAACCACCCATGGCAGTCCAAGCAAGACCCATCACCACGCCAACTGGTGTTTGATCATATATTCGTTCGGCATGGAAAACAGGTTTGCCAACAAAATCAGAAAGATTTGGCGTGTCAACCAACACTTTGTCAACTGTCTTGCTCACCTCACTTTCAAGTTTTTCAGCAGTTTCCACATTGACCTGTGAAGATGCAGCAATTAGTAGAATCAACAAGGCAAGATGCCTCGATCAAAGATTTTAAAGAGGAACTAGTTTCTTTAAGTATTTTATTGACTTTAACAAACAAATATCACACTGATAAAACTTCAAAAACAATTAAATGAACTCCTCAGAGAACTACAAAAGCATAATGTTCCAGGTACAACTACTCTTTTTTACTTTTGTAATTTTAACTGTAATTAACCACAGTAGTAGTTTTCCACTTTCCTAAAAACGAGAAGGAACAGATGGAACAAAATAATTCCTGAGTTCCAAAACATGCAGTAAGACATCATTTATCTATGGTCAATTGCTTGCATTAACTTCAGACTAAGGAATGGATGGGCAGAATTATCTAAAGCTTTGGCCTAAAATATTTCTCTTGCTAAGCTTCTAATTGAGATTTTTAATTGGCTTATGGAGTTTTATTTCATGTCATGGATTTGTTGGTGGTTATATGAAAAATGAGGCAGCACACAGTTTATGGAGAGACATCTCTGAAGTTTCCTCTCAATATATTCAATATCAAAATCAAAGGAAGAAAGAAATCAAAAGAGAAAGAAGTAAATAAGTATGAGAGGCTGTAATTCAGATTATTCAAGAACAGAAAAGGTTGCAATTCCAAAAATTAGACAAAAGCAGCAAAATTTCTAGGGCTAAGGCCTTCAAGGATGCTAAATACAAAAAATAGATAATTTATTATACCTTCGGTTCACTGGGCAGATTGAGGGGGGTTTGCTGCTTGTCAACAGGCAGATCCTTGTTCTCAGCTTCTGTTTCAGTTGATGTTTCAGAGGCCATACCAGTGCCGCTACCGCCCCCTGGTTCAGCCTCAATCTTGGCTCCAACTGCTGTTTCATCTGTTTCACTGACAGATTCTGCTCTTCCATCATGTCCCTTGACCCCAACTTCACTAACTGGAGGTTTATTTAGTTCTCCTTTCCGCACAAGTTGCAAGGCAATCTGCAAGATAGTTAAGCACACTAATTCAAGTCAAATTTGTGAAGGCTTAAATTCCCGAACCTCCCTTGATATCTGTTAAAATGACAACTAGCCCCGAGGGTTTCAGAAATCAGCAGGGATCTCCCAAGAGGAATTAATATAATTTAGTTGATTGAACTGCCTAAATAAAGAGTCATCATCGCCATTATCCAGGAATTAATACAGGCTATGCTTGGCCTTACCCATTGACATAATGAGAAAATTTGCTTTGGCAAAATCCACTAAAAAACTAGCTAGAGGGTTTTTCCTTCCAGATAGAACTGCATCCAGCCACATTAAGCAATCAAAAAAAAAATAAAAAGAAAAAGAACCTCTTTTCCTCTCCTTTTCTGCTACTTGATATAACACCACGAAATCCTGTCATTATCATGGCTTACCAGCATCTTACCAAATCAAATTTAAAAAAAAAAAAAAAAAAAAGAACAACTAAAAAGAAAGTGTCTATTACTCTCTATGCATAAAAATTACCAAGATCACCATAATCCACCACCATGCAGCAACATTGTGCATTATCAGCTGCCCTTAATAATCACCAACTACCATAGTTAGGCAACATGTATATCAGACCCATAGATGACAAAAACATATAAATATTCAAATTTTAATCAACTGATATATGTTCATAATTCCTGATAAAGACACCTCAATGAAACTGTTAAAAGATTGAACAAAATCTACTTTGGGCAATTGAGAAATGAGAACTAGAATGTCAATGATCAAAATCCTGAGCTCAATGATTCCCACATCAACCAACTATAGCATAATGGCCTGATATGGTGACACTGGATTCCATCCTTCACAAGATCTCATCTGCTCTATAGCTTTTCTTACTCCTATATCAGGCACTCACTGTAGATGACATGTATAGATTTTTTGTGGCATGGAAGATAAGCTGAAATACTTGAGACTCAAAAGTAAAGGGATTGGAAAGAAAAGCAGAAAAGGGGTAGTATTGAAGATATAAAATGCTGCAATATGTTAGACGTGTGTAAATTTTCTTTTCCACACAAGGACCCTTTTTAGCTCTCTCTTATGTCACTCCACTAGGTGCGAATCAAGCACAATATGCCACTTCACTAAGTACAGAAACCTTATCTACTAAATTTCATGCCTGTTGCCCGGCAGTAAAAACACAAATGGCACACCATCGATAACTACAGCCCACACATATTTGCTCCACATAATTCAATATTTTGACCATTAAAAAAATGGTTAGTTCCACAAACCTTGCGATATATCTTCTCTATATGCTTCTGAAGGTTCCGAACTCCTGCTTCACGACAGTAGTTTTCAATTAAAGCAAGGAGTGCTGCATCAGTCACTTCAACCTAAAAGAATTTAATTTCAAAGTATCATTACCTTAATTATAAAATATGATGTTCAAATCCCACAATATCCCCCAAAAAAAAAAAAAAAAATCATGTTTGTGAGTTTAAAAGCAAAAATATCACACTATGGCCTACTACTTTAAGTGACAGAAAAAACATAAGGCCAACTGCTTTAGCATTACTGTAAAATGAGAATTACAACAATCAGTGGGAGGACTAGAACTCTACTCAAGGGGTGAATGTTGACAGTAGCCAAACTTAAATCTCATAACAGAAGTCCTGAAAAAAATGTGAAATAAAACTTTCAACAGATTCAGAATCACTGTTCAAAATTGCCTTTATTCATAGACAACGGACCCCATCCAGTTTAAGTAATGATGAACATTTAAGAGCAGAAAGTGTTCTCTTAAAGATATAGATGATAAGAAGACAAAAAGGAATGATGAAGAGAAGAATATGAAACCCTCAAAAAAAAAAAAAGAAAGAAAGGACTTGTAAGCCTCAACCTAATAGGAACACCATTTAAAAATTAAAAACTTCAACATATGTCAACCTCACATAATCAAAAAGTTAAAAATAGTCCTATTCTAACATGGACACCATCCCTTTGAACAAAGAATCTTCTCAACTGTGGGACCTAAGTTCTTGAACTCAAACTATTTCAAATTTAATCTATTGGGATGTAACACAACTCTCTCTTTTAAGAGAAATAACAAACTAATAAGTCTAGCAGAAAACTCAGTGATGGAAGGAAGGCGATGCACCATCTACGGCAAAACCATTGTTTACAAAAATGAAAATAACAAAATCTGACCATTCAATCTTTGCTCTTTCTTTCCTTCATTTTCCTTTTTGTTTTTTTTCTTTTTCTTTCTTTTTTTGTTTTTATTTTATTTTTATTTTTATTTTTTTTGGTGGGGGGGGGGGGGGGGGGGATGGGGTGTGTTCAGAAGAGAGGGACCATACCTGTTCAGACTTAATGCCACAGGCTTCACGAGTAGCTTTCTCCAAATAATCTCTGGCAATGTGCATTTTCTCATCAGAGATATATCCTGCAATGGCAATAACTTCCATTCTGTCCAATAGAGGATTAGGAATCATCTCCACAACATTTGCCGTACAAACAAACAGAACCTGAAAGGAAAAATATTGCTTTAATTATAATATTAGGAGCCATCATCTTACACATCATTTATACAAATGCATCATTAAGTACAATATGATTCCACCATAGTAGCCACAATTCAGGTTCTCTCATGACATGAATACCAAATGTAAACATTTTTCTGTACACCAAAAGTATGATGTAAGACATAAATGCAAGTATAAATACATTTCTATAACAAGGGACCAATAAATCTCATATTTCATAAGATGATGACATTATAATCTCTGGACATGTATCTTAGAGGATGAAATCCAATTAGCCACCTACTACCCAAAGGGAGATACAGGCGGTTGAAATTAGCAGAAGAATAAATTACAGAAGTTTTCTCTTTTCTTTATTGCTTTTAATAAATAGTGAAGTTTTTCTAAATAAAGTTCAAATTAAACAATTTAGCATTAAACACTCAGAATGTCTTCAAATCAACAGCAATCTAAAATTCTAGTATCTTAGGTCACTTCATCGATGAAGTAATGCAGATGTCTAGAAATGTGACCAAGGGAATTTGAGCAATTAGATGGAGCCTATTATGTACAGATCACAACTCGCCCTATTACAACAATGAAATCAGACAACCTAGAAGAAGACCATCATCAGCAATTCCACATATAAATAAAATTAAAAATTCAAACTCGTATGACATTATTCCTCAGTAGTAATAGCACGGCAGTGGGCAACCTTCGACAAGTCTATTGGAACATCAAGATAGTGGTCTAGAAAGTTGGCATTTTGCTCTGGATCAAGGAGTTCCAACATAGCACTTGCTGGATCACCTGCATGTCCCCTTCCCAACTGCCAAGAAAATCCAGTCAACTTTAAGATGCTACTCAAATTATCTAAAAAAGATATTCATAAGTTTAAGGTCTATAATCTATAGAAAGACTTGTCACAACACAACCCCTGGAGACAAAGCACAACAGTACCAGATAAGATATGCAACAGTTGTTGAGGAAGAAAGCCAGACATTACCTTGTCAATCTCATCAATTAGAACAAGAGGATTAGCAGTTCCTACATTTTTTAGGCATTGTACCATTTTGCCCGGCATGGCACCAATATAGGTTCGGCGATGCCCCTGCACATGATTTTTGAAGATTAAATATATACAAAATGATATCTGCTAATTGGAAGCATGTGGAGTCATTTGCTAATTTCCTCCTTAATTTTATCGTCTACCTTGATTTCAGCAACGTCAGATAATCCTCCAACAGAAAATCGGTAGAACTTTCGATTCAAAGCCCGGGCAATTGAACGACCAATGCTAGTTTTGCCCACCCCAGGAGGGCCAGAAAGACATATAATTTTTCCTGTGATTAATTGAAGAAATATCAGCAATTTTGACACCAAGAATTTTAAACAGAAGAAAGTATAGCATACAATTCAAAAAACAAGATGCTTCATACATACTACCATCCACTTACAGAATAGAGCGGCCTTATCAATTATAAACAACTTTACCATCACTGTAGGATATTATTAATTCAAGTGAGCTTCAACACAGTCCAAGATCATGCTTTGTTTTTCTTCATGTACATAATAAAAGGACATTATTCACCGTTTCTACATCCTTACTGCAGCATCACTCACCAGTCACCCTCAACTCAGCTTTTTGTTCTAATAGCTTATACCTTTCAAAACATTTCATGTAACTAGATGTTTGTATTTTCATGATAATATCTTTTGCCAACATTTATTTAGACCTCTCTGTTCCAATTCCAACACCTATCTCACATTGCCTTACACTGAACATTCTAATTTGTAAGTAAGCAGTGTGCATGATCTATCAGCTTCGGAAGTTCCCACAATGATAGTGGGAGATGGATATGAATTTACAATTGGGTCAAGGCAGTAATTTTGCAAGTCATTTTTAAGACCAATTTATGCAAAATCCATCAATATTTTTAAGGCTCCAATACCATGGGCTCTGGGCCACAACAGCAAACACTAAGATAAAGAAGTTACAAAAGGGCCACAAGGATTCTGAAAATCTGAACTTTCAATTCATTCCATAAAGGCCATTCTAAGTAAGGAGTTCACTTTCTAGTGAAGTAGCTCAAAATAAAAATTAAAACAGAAAAACTAAAATATAAGGAAGCAACAAGTGGCAAACATGTAGCAACTTCTACAAAAAGACAGACATGTTTACAGCAAACATGCACACGACTCTGGAAGATCTTACATTAGAAATAAGAAGAAAAATAAAATTATTTTACCATACAACTATATAAAAGAATACCAGCCCTTAAACTCTTGGCTGAAACTGGATAGTTTGCCTTTTTGTTTCCAAGAGCTTGTCCTGAACCTCAATCGCATCAATGCAGCTGATTTAGAAGCACTCACTCTGGATTTTTTAAATTGGATATATAAATTTACTAGGGTAGCAAATGCAACCAGGTAATATTATTGTCAAATTTTGTATAAATATATTATACAATTCAATGTGCAGTAACATTTAGAGAACCATGTAAAAAAGAAAAGATAAAAAATAACCTCAAACAACTGGTGTAGAAATTTGTGCAAATAACATACTTTTTCCAAAAAATATTAATAAAAAAATCAATAAATTTTATGTACATATTTTTCCATGTTATATATAAGTTCATTAAATTATGAATACATACATTTACAAAATTAACTGTTTTCAATGCTCTAGAAAGTAAGGAAAAGGGAATTCCATTCCACACTCCAGGAGTTCAAGACGGTAAGTAATTGGTATCCAATAAGCACTTATATTTATAAAACAAAAATTTAAATAGATGTAATGCTAGCGTCTGATTTAAAATAGAAAAATAAAAGGATGTCTAATTAACTCAATGAAGCTGCAAATCAGGCACAACTAAAAGAGGGGAAGAGAACATGTTACCAACCTTGTGAGGTTCCCCGGAGCTTGCCTACTGCTATAAATTCCAATATCCTTTCCTTAACATCATCCAATCCATAATGGTCTTCATCAAGAATTTTTTGTGCCTGAATGACATCAAAGTTCTCATCGCTGCACTTGAATTGGAAGCACAGAAGTTTACACTCAGATTATATTTGGGTGATCAAGTTTCTGACCCACAATTAACAGTTGATAAGGAATTTCAAAGAGGAAGAAGCCAATAGATACAGGAATTGGCTAATAAGTTCGAATGGCAAAGAATTAGAGAACAAACACACCAAACAGATGGCACAAATCTAATCAAATCACCAGTGTTACTATGCTACAACAGCAGTCAAAAATAAAAAAAAGTGCCTCATCAACAAAGTCTGAAGTGAAATCAAGTAAATTCAGCACTTTGGCCCCACACTTACATATAGCTGAGCAAAGAGAATGAAGCGAAGATTACATATGACCAATATGCTAAACTGACTGTCCATTCATTTATTAATAAAATTAAAACAGGACTCACAAGCCTCTAAATTCATTGGGCAAAGTTTTGCTTGAATAACTTGTCCATCAACTGCAAATCCTAAGTATTTGAAAGTGGAGAGTTCGTGAACTGAAATATCAAACTGAAGCCACAAGTTTCTTGAGCAAATAATAACAAACACAAAAATGCATGCCACATTTTCTCCAACACATTTGGAACATAGTCATTTGTTTGTTTTTAGGGATATAAGCAAAATAAACTGATATAATGAAAAAATTGCGGGTGATGAAGTCCTAAGACACTAACGAGCAAATCTTGACAGAAAAACCTAAAGAGTTGCCACAAGTTCAGCATTCCTTTTTCTCATCCTCTATTCTTTTCCTTTTTCCATATTTTTGTTTGTTTTTGGGTTGGGGTGGGGTGTGAGGTAGGGGGTGGAGGCTACAATTTAGATAAAAGCCAAAGCAAGAAACCAGGCTTTAACCTGATTTCCAAGTGCAGGAAAACTTGAATAGATGGGATGGTTTTATCAACATTTAACAAAAGGGTCATAGCACAAAACTAAAGCATGGCTTGAAAAGTCCACCAACATGTAGCTCCTTGGCACACTAGCATAATAACAAGCCACATTTTGCCATACGACTTAGCATTTAGCACTTTTTATCATAATTGCCTCAAAATAAATAAACAAAATAAAAATAAAAGATTATACTGAAAGGCATTCCCTAACTGATAGAAAGACAGTGATGTACAAACCTGTAATTACCATAAGGCAAGGCAGTCAACCAATCAAGATAATTACGTGTCACATTAAATTCACTTGAACTGGCCTCTAAAAGCTGAAGTTTTGTCAACTCTTCTTCTATAACTTGCAACACATGAGGTGGGATTTTCTCTTTATTAGGCTCAATTCTTTCCCTAAACTTCGCTGCGGAAGAGGTACAAAAGATAAATTGCATCAAGATCAACGCATTGTAAACATCATGACCAAGTCCAACATTCATAAAAAGGTTTTGAAGAAATAAGCAAGTTAAATGCGTTCAATCTCTGCTTAGTCAACCTTAAGCCATCGTTATGACTTACATTTAACTAAATTCGGCAGAATGCATCATGTTTGACCCACAAATAATTCATTACAAAATTTTAATTGATTTCATGATTAAATGGGAAAAGAAAAAAAAGTAATACAAATGAAATTCTGAAGACAGGAAGATGTGCTGTTTTCAAGTAGGATAGTCAACTTCTCACACACCTGTTGAATATAGATACTTTCAAGAGACATCTATTCAAATTTCCTTCCAAAAAATTGAAAAAAAAAATAATTATAATAATACTTTTTGTCCATGAAACATATATTATGATGAAGGAAGCTTCCCTGTGGCTCAGGAACTAATGTCATTGGAAGAATCTAATCAATCTCAAACCTAGTCATTACAGGTCCTGATCATCCAAATAGAGTTAATTAGGATTGATTTGTTTCATAAGAACATTACCAAGCTTTGGACAGGTGTGGGTGAAAAAATTATAAAACACCTTATAATAGGTGATTCACAAGCTCCTTCATTCTATTTTCTATCCAAACATGTGCCTCATTAAACAATACATTGGTGCTAAAAGCCACACAACTAATCACTGTAGCACAAGATTGTAGCATGCATGTAGGGTGGAACCATGGTTGATTCCATCGCAAAGGAGTAAGAGGAGTAATTAATTTACAAGACCTAATTACATGTATATGAGCTGATACTAAATCCATCCCAGCTGATAGAAAAAATTTCTAATCAAATATCTTCCACATTGGAGGAATGCAAGTCAACATTATTTTATTGGATAAACAGCATTTTAAAGTCTACAAATATGAGGTAACAGACAGTATTCAGCACATTGATAACAAGTGTATTACAGCTAAAAGAGCCACTACTGCCAAGTGAAAATAGTGAAGAAAGTAAAAAAAAGTCCCATCAATAATCAGGTTCTGAGGTCAATACACAAAAAAAGGACTAACCAGAGAGCGCAGATTTGTCATCCGTCTCTAATCCCAATTCCTGAAATCAAAGCAATTGAACTTATAATAAGACAAGGATTTGATTTAACATAAAGCAGATTTTCAATATCTTCATAACTAAAATCTCCATTTGAACAGATTGTCTAATATTATTTCAAACATGGAATCTGAGAGTACAATAACAAATTAATCTGAAGATTCTAGACGAATCAAGTGTTAACACAAAACATATTTGCTAAAGCTTCACTTACCTTTTTGATGGCCTTAAGCTGCTCGTTCAACAAATAGCGGCGCTGCTCACCACTTATTTTCTCTTCAATTGCTTTTGCTATTGATTCCTAAATATACTCTGAAAAATTAGGTACCAAATGGGCATTGAACAACCAAAGCCAAAAACAAATATACTAACAGGACATACCTGAATCTTACTTATCTCCAGTTCTTTCTTCACTAATTCCAGTGTAAGCTTTAGCCTTTTATAGACCTGGTGCAGCAAAAATTATAGTTACAACTTACATGACACAACTATACATAATAACTATATTGTGGCAATAGGAAATTTGAGGAGACATCTTTGGACTAACAATTGGTAACTACTCGTCACTTACACGATAATGTTTACTCTCAAATGCTTTTTAAATATCTTCATGCCCACATGAACACAGAAAAGCAAAAAATGGTTTTTCAGTATCATTATATCCATCTACTAATTAGGGAAAAAAAAAATCACAAATCTATTCTTTTACTGGTGCTCCATGTGCAACTATACTATACAATATATGCTTATGGACTTAGCTATGTACCAATGTTATGTTTATGGCCTTTTAGGACTTACAACAAGCAATTACAAAACGACGAATGGATAGTGGACTGGGAGAAATCAAACAACACCTTATCATCATTTTCTTTGTAGTTAGACTAATTCCTTCAAAAGAATTGAGATACAAGAAAAGCTTCAAAGTTTAGAAAGAAAATTGGAAAGAACTTCTTCAAAGGTCCTTTGTAGTTGTCCAGATTAAGGTTTTTAGAAGAGAAATTACCTTGGAGAGAGAAGTTAAGAGGGTTTGGGAGGACAGGACCCACATTCTATGCATTTACCTTCCAAGGAAGCCACCAAAAAAAAAAGGGCAGGAAAAGGGGACAAAATGAAGTCTACACCATGGTTATTACCAATAATGACCAATCTAAAATAAAAATTAGACAATTTTGGGTTATAGAAGTAAAAAGTTCTATATACTTTACTTTTCCTCCAATAATTTTACTTAAACCAAACAATGGAAAGGAATGGAAACTCCACCTTCCAAAACACCTGCATGGCTCTATCAAAAAGGCTGGGCTTTAAGCTTTATAAAAAGCCAGGACTGCAAGGCTTTCATTTTTTTTTTTTTTTTTTTAGGGGGGGTGGGGGGACATTAAAAACCCAAGTGTTTTTGTAGGTAAACAACCACTAACACACAACATAACTCAGAGAAACAGAAATTTTTTGTTCCACAACCAAAAAGCCCAATAGCCAAACAGTGTCTTAGTCATCCAAACACAATGAAGGCAGGATCCTTCTCTTCCCTTCTACCTTTAGTCACCTGGTATAAGAGAGAGAGAGAGAGAGGGAGAGAGAGGGAGGGAGGGAGGGAGGAAAGTTTAATCAAGCCATAACCCTGAGCTAGGTTAGGCATCCATATATATAGACATTAGAGTATACAATTACAATTGGATGAAAAGACATACCTACCCTCACTTATAACATCTTGTAATGCATCAATAAACTTTAGAGCAAATAACTAACATGACCAAATATTTTCAAGCCACAGCCTATTAAATGTACTTAGTAAAATACAGCCCATAGGAGATTGCTGTAAAGGAAACAAGTATGGACCCACAACAAAACCAGTCATTCCTTGCTAACATGACCAAATATTTTCAAGCCACAGCCTACCAAACGTACTTAGCAAAATACAGCTCATAAGAGATTGCTGTAAAGGGAACAAGTATGGACCCACAACAAAACCAGCCATTCCTTGTATTGCATAATAGAACTCCTATAGAATCAAATTACAAATCGTCTACACCAAGATATAGTAGCTTTCCCCTACCTGTTGTTTCAGACTTTGCAGCCTCTTTCCTCAAACCAAGCATATCAAAGACAATTTTAAGGTTTCATGAACCAAAAACATTCAACTAGCGGTTTCTTCTACCCTTGGTAGACAATCCGTATTAAGTATTCTAGGTTTTCACCCCCCCCCCCAAACTTCCCCTGCCTTTTTAATAGGTTAACCATAAGTCACCTCCAACAGCATTCAACAAAAATCAAAGTCAAACATGGCCCACCTCGATGGCTACATCATAAATCAAAAATTGAGACACCTCTATTTGGAGTAAGAAGGACAAGGTCAATGTAGATACTTTGACTAACAGATATAATACCTCATTTAAGTATTGCTTGTTACATATTGCACATCAATAACAAATATCAGCATGCCTATTAATAAATTCATGCGAACCTTTTAGGCCAAACTTAAACTCTATTACACACACTAAAAATTTTCCCATAATCAACTAAAAACAAAGTAGAATTTAAAGCCTCCACCCCACCCCCAAGAAAAGGAAAAAAAAAAGAAAGAAAGAAAAAGAAAGAAAGAAAAGAACTCATCAATAGTCACTTTTTATGTCAAGAAAGAATAACAGGAACCTCAGGCAGTAAGAAGGGCAAAAAAAAAAAAAAAAAGTTAAGTTCAAGTAGAAGAAATCAATAAATAACAACTGCTACTTACATCTAGCTCTTCAAGCACTTGCTGGCATAACAACTTGTTTGCTCCAGATATTGCAGCCCCAAAATCTGCTAACCTTGAATAATTGAAATCACCCATATGCTGCAAACAATGACAGCGCGGAAAAGAGAGAAGAAGAGAAGAATAAGACAAAGATAACTCATTTCGATTACCAGTTTGTAAAATTCTTTAACCAAATAAATCATCCGTGCTAAATAAAATGTCAAATTGTGGATATCTGTTATTAAAAGACCGGGAAAAAACTCGTCAAAGAAACCTTCATCTTTGAAAAGATAACATGAAAATCCTCAAGTACTTGCGCCTAAGGGGGTACAACCCAAAGTAATTATCCCAACCCATGGAGGTCAGACATCAATATTGAAAAGAAAGTTTCCAGGGAGTAATAAATCCATTTGTTCATAGACAAGAAACCAAGAAGACAACAATCAGATGATGTCACCAAACTCAAAAATTAAGCAATTTTTACCAGAGAGACAGAGATACACCATGCAAAACAAAACTGAGTGTTTCAGTGTGAAGCTTATCTGTCTCATGTGATAGAATAGAGAAAAACACAACATGAAATCAGTGCCCAACAGATAGTTCATGTGTGAGCAATGAGCATTTATGTCATCAAATTCAGTATATACATCAATTGCTATTTAAGTTTTTGACACCATTAACATGTCCTCGCTTTATGAACCACTTTACTCAAAGTTCAGCATTTTCTTAAGGGCTCAGGCTCCAAGAAGAAAGCACCATGACCCTGCAGAGAGCACTTTGACACAAGGAAAAAGATAAACTGGTACAATATAACGACAGAATAAGAGAAGATAAGAAGATACCTCCATATCAAAATTGTGTATTTGAAACAAATATATCAACCATAAGATTCAATAGGGAATACACATAAGAGAAGTTCGAAAAATATGTCAAATCTGAAACCACATAAACCAATTGCAAAATGAACAAGAAAATACACTTGGAAGACAGCTTCAAGAAAGACAAACTTGTCAACTATTTTACATTCTTAATCATGATACCCTCCTGTAGTTGTTGGGAGGGAATCATCTAATCAGCATAAGAAGCAAATACCAAAGAATTTGAGATCAAGTGCACACCTGAGTGTATGTTTGGACATGATCTCTCCACAGAGAACTTGTCTTCAAAACATCCCTCACAGTTGATATAACCTCAAAAGATGTTGCCTTAATAACATCATCATCTTTGTCATATGGTTTGTCCTGCATCATAAAGACTTACCTAATAAGAAAGATGCAGTGCAAAAGAAACTGATAACTTATCCTAAAACAACCACTATGCAGATAAAGTGTGAAGGATTTAAAACAGGGAAGAGAGCATGCCTTAAGATGATCAACTTTGACTGTAAGAGGATCCTCACTGACCTGCATTGCAGTAATTTGCTTCAGTCTGGGAAATTTTGCATCAATTACAGGTCACAAAGACAGAGTACAAGACTATAAAAGAGATGAAATGCCAAACAGCATAAGATGCATATACTGAGATGGGAGAAGTCATTCTGGATAAGTCACTATCTTAAGACACTGATAACTACTTTCACTCACCAACTCCGTTATTCGAAGTCGCCGGTGACCAATAAGGATAACCTGATCTCCTTGGATACTGGTAATCTGGTTCCAACATTACAACAAATTAGAGCATTTATCATGGACAGGCATATCTTATTAATGCAACTTAATAAAAAAATTAAGTAAAACAAATTTAACAAAAACCAAAAGTGCAGACACAGAGAGATACCTGTGCTAGTGTGCCAACTTCATGGAGACGGTTAAACAACTCTTTTCCTTTAAGATCGTGTACATTTTTATCTGCATCCGAACCAGAAATTATTCTAGGATCAGTCCCCGGCTCATCTTTAAGAAGGAAAGCTCCAGCATATGGGGCTTGTCGTTTGCGACTTTCCACTAAGGCTGCTAGTAATTTAGGATCCTGTAAGGGAATAAACACAATGTCAGCAAATCTCTGGATGTAAATCATTTCTATACAAAATAAAAAATAGAAGGAACTGGCACAAGTGATTTTCCTTTTTATAATTCTTTTCAGCGGAACCGGTAGCTATAATGGAGCTCTAACAATCTGGTTGGTGCTCTCATCAATCAAGTCCAATTTAATTGGATAACTTCGATATAAGTATAGCATGGAAGTGGTTAGAACTCTAGAGAATTTGGTTGGCTTAGAATCAAATAGGAAAGTTGGGTCAGCATTTAGTCTTAAGAGCTTTATAAGGTCAGCTCGACTTCTAAAAGGTCTTATTATGGTTTAAGGCTGGTCAATCAAGACAAAGAACTAGCACTTGCTACAATCAGAAAAATGCAACTGCAGGAAGCTCTGAGGGTCAGAGATATGGACCAATGACTGAGAAAATGTTGGCAAGTTAGTAGCAAGACTAGATGCCAATGTGAGTTGTGATAAAATGATTTGAGTCATCATGGCCTTCAAAATCAATTATCTTTTGCAAGGTGATGGTCCTAGAGTCCCCAGTGATGATAAAGGTTGCCAAAGAATTTTTAAGGAAAGCGTTGGTTTGTCAGATGAGTATTGGTGAGTCTTTCAACGAGGTTTCCTCTGTTGGCTAAGTCTTCAGTGTGGCAGCAATGGATTTGTTGGCAACAATCTCAACACGAGGGTCGGTAATGCAATTCAGTTTAGGAATCAGGTATAGTTTTGGATTAAAGGTCTCAGCACTAGTTAGGGTCCTCAGATGGAGCTGACCAAAATTTACTCTAATACCAAATTGGTGCAGAACCAAATAAGAAAAGAGGGGAACAGCAGGATGGTACACTATATGGTAACCTTTTACATTCACAGAGTCTGATGGTCTATTCTTCAATCCAACAGAAAAACACCATTCACAAACATCTATAGACTCTAGCATTCCCAACTCTGATAACACTAGGATTTTTGTTTTAAAAAAAATAAAGAAGGGAAGGAGAAGAGGAAGAAGATGCCATAAGACTAGGATTTAAGATTAGCAAAGTTAGTTAGAAGGTTCTAGTAAATTCCTACCATATCTCAAATAGAGGCAAATCTCAAAGATAAACAAAATCCCACCAAAACTTTAGGCTTCCAAATTTGATTAGCAGTCTCCAACCAATTAGCTGCTACAATATACACTTCATGAAAATCTATTGACTATAATAATAGCACTCAAAAGCCATAAATTAGATAATGTATAAAATCAGCAATAAGAAACTGAACCTTCACATATATGGGCATGTAAAACCCTGGAAATAATGGTCTATGAGGCAATGGCAATGCCACGACCTGCATTGAGGGGAAAAAACAAGAAAAAGATGTGTCAAAAATTTAAACCAAATGAAGTACCAAGAAAAAGTAAACAATAAAAAATAGAACCCCAGTAACAATTAAAGAGGACAATTAATATCCCATCCAGAGAGGGATGCCATCTGAATAGCATTAAGCATCAATCCAACCTAAGGCACAAAACCCTGTTCCAGATGCAATCACAAAGTAAGCAGCTCAGAATAAGATTTTAATTGAAGTGACAAAGTAGAACACGAAGATTCCATCTGATAGTTCAAGCGGATTCAATATTACGATTATGGAACATTCAGTAACTATTAATTCCATGCATCTTATAAGCAATTCAAGGGGTCAAAAACATGAAATATGCACTGGTACATTTTCACGGCCAACTCCCAAAGCAGTATAATTGTAGACAGTACTTGGTGAAGCTTTTCCTATCTCTTTAACAAGTAGCAATAACTCTAATCTTTGGGATCTCAAAAAGGTATTGAATGATTAAATGAATTTCCCTCAATTAATACAGTTTGAGATGGCACTTCCCCATAATTATATTAGGTACTGTAACAAGATCCATTCAAAAGAAATGCTTCTTTAACTTATCAGAATTGATGCACAAAACTTGGTCCCATGTCATTTGACAAGCCATATTTGCTCCTTTGGTAGTTTATCATGGCAAACATCTTGCATTTGTAACAAACACCATCCCTTGGATCTTTTAACCATCTGTGGACTGCCATATGTACTTCTTATGAAGTTACCAGATCTAAAAAATGAGACAGGATGAGGAGGATAGTTTTAAAATTCTCTAATGCTACCTGTCTCTTACAAAACAAAAGCAACCCTCCCTAGGTTTGGAAAAATTAGCAAAGATGAGATGTTGTAAATAGAAAGCAAGCTGATAGAGAGCATCTAAATTCCAGCATTATCAATCAACTCACTAAAAATATCATGACAAACAGAGGTCACTGAACATAAATGTCTGGATGAGTAGGAGGAGCAGGGATTTGAATAAAGGATTTGCTGCTTTGGGACATTGTTAGCAGCCGCAAGTCTAGTACAAGCTTCAGCAAATCAAGAGGGTTTAAAAAGAGCACCAAAGCTTCAATAATGCCAAGTGGATTGCCCTGACCTGTTCCTCAATACTGGAAAACCCACAGCCCCACCCATATCCCAGAGGATAGTCATCTCCATCCCCCTCCCACCACTACAAGAAACACAAACCTTTTTTTGGAGTACCACAAGTTTTGGAGTCCAACATGGAAACAACTTCTTAATAGAAGTTTTTACAGTGCTTACATTTACATGTTACTCACAATAGCACACAACTGCACATAGACACAAAAGGCAAAACTCAAACATAAAGTGGAAACAGTGTACAATTAGCTCCTACCCCTGTGTGTGTGTGTGTGTGTGTGTGTGTGTGTGTGTGTGTGTGTGTAGAAAATGGTTTTCTTGAAAACCCCTTACATCTAGATAAAGCATGGAAAAAACAACCCCAGCAGAAAGGCAAAAATAGATCAGATTTCCACCAAGGAAGGTCCAAATTGCCATTTCTAGATCCCTTGAAATACCCTAAACACATTTTTTCTTTGACAAGTAAGCTCTCACTAGGGGAGAATGAGGTTATAAGTAATAGCTTTTAACCTTATCTAAGCATAGATTCTCAATTAGCTGTTACCTTCCCTCTACTACAGAAACTAGGCTTTAAAATTAGCATAGCCACCCTATGAATCTAAATTGAGCTACTAGACAAGAAATGTGCTACCACAGCCATTAATGTTGCAACAAGTACAAAGAGAATAACTAATAGGAAAGAATTTGTATATTTTACAAAGAAACTATGAAAGAAAAATCTGGTTTTGTATCTCTTAACAGGCATATGCAGTTGGTATTTCCAAACTGCATAATCAATAAACATCTCCCACTTTAATGACAGAAACGTAATACACTTTCACATATCATTAGTTGGCCAAGAGTGAGGTGCTTCATTTGCAAATCAAGTGCCACAAGTCACTGAATTCTCAGGATAAAGGGAACATTAACCACAAAAAGATAAACAAGAATGACTCTGACTTCATCATGCATCCTCAAATACTTATTTTGTTCTTAAACCTTTATTTTTTGAATATTGCTGAAGTCTCCTTTGTAATTTCCTTATTGTTGAACCCTCTCAAATGAACATTTCCATGAATTAGAACCAGCAATTTAAATAAAGAAAATTCATTGCATTCTGTTGGAGCAAAGCAGGACCTTTGGGTCTTGGCCAAAAAATAAAGAAGGATCTGGAGAATATGTTTCCTAAATTATTTAATCTCGAACCATTATTTTCCAAATAGTGCTCATGTCTTCTTTCTTAATTTCCTCCTTCTTCATCACGACAAGGATGGCTCCTTGCCTTCTCTTTGTTAAAAACTTAATCTCTCCCCAAGAAAATGTTTACGCGAATCTGGAACCAGTAAGCATGGATAACAAAACTCCGTTCAAGGACAAGATTAAATAAACAAAAAAAATCTTAAATATAATTTCTCTGTTTAGCTGCTGAAACTAGCTTAATTTAAAAATGAAAATGAAATGGTACAGATATTAACGCCGCATCGTCACTATGATGCTTAAGTGATGCAATGTTTATTACAAATTGAAACCTGGAAAAAAGACACTTTTCTTTCTGGACGTTCTCCACAACCAAATGGAGCACAAGGATAGTACAAATATACGCATATGACATCAACATTTATACATACAACACACTGTATATGCATGTTACTTACCGTGAGATAATCCTCGGGTCTGAACACAGTTGGGACTATGGCCGAGGAGGACTTCGATTCGGCTTCTTCGCCTTCGACTTCGGCCTTCTTGGCCTCAGCCACAGCCTCGACTGGCTCGGACCCATCGGTCGAGTCAAACAGAAAAACAGTCTCTGGCACAAATTAGGGTTCCGGCTACGGGAGCCTCTGAGAGAGCTCAAGACTCGCCGCAGCGGCGAGTTCGAGTCGGTCGCGTGACGAAGATGCGACGGGAAGGTGGAGGGCACCGTACTTAATCGACCTCGCATACACGAGGAAGATAACGCCTTCAACATTGATGGAGGCGGAGTCCGAATATTAGAGGACCAATGGTGAGTGTCACTCTCTAATGTTCTAGTCCAAGAACTAAATTCTGCTTGTTTAATTTAAGCTTCGGAACGAAACCGCCATCGATGAACTCGCAGCGGAAAACAGGATTTTTATAACAGGGCAAAGCCCTACATAAACCCTTGTCCGTGTGGTTATGTTTGCTGTTACCGATGATGTTGACTCTCCTACTTCTGTTCAAGGTTTAAAGTACAGTTTTGCCCCCTACCCTTTTTTTAAAAATTTATATTAAAAATAAGATATTTGTAAAAAAAAAAATAATAATATATATATGTTTCAAAAATAAAGTAAAATACTCCTGCTTTATTACTTGAAGAGGGTTAGTTTAGGAATTTTATTCCTTTAACATTGGTGGATCACGCAGTAGCAGATAATCTTTTTTATATTATTGTAAATAATAATATTAAATAAGTTATTCACAAAAAAAAAACCTTAGATGATAAAATAAGGAATTACTTAAACAAAATCATGATTAAACTCCAATATATTGGTGTATTGATTCAAAAATAAAACAGTGAATGTAATGTTTAAGGTATTTTCACGTTGTTCATCAGATAGAGAAATAGATTTTTTTTTCGAAATGATTTCCAATCAAAAAATAAATAACCAACTCTAAATTTAATAATCTTTAAGAAAATCAAAAGTTTAATCGCATTTACCACTCAAAAGCCGTAAAATCTTTGAAATTTATTATAATTTTAACTAAAATATATATGATTTTTAAAATTTTATATTGGCCATAAACCTTCATATTTTAATTTATATCTAATTTTTAATATTTTATTATAAATATTTAATAAAATAATGAAGTTGATTGTGTCAAATTATGGATTGGTTAGATTTTAATTCGAATCTAATCTAAATTTGATTCAGATTTTATTATTCAAATTTTATTAAATTATTTAATAATTAAATCTGATTATAAATATCTGTAATTTAAAATAAATGAATCAAATATGAAATAAAGTAATTCAATTCGTTAAAAATTTGAATCTAAATTTTAATAATATTTTTTATTAAATCAATGCCATATATATATTATTAATAAATTTAAATTTATATAAACTAAATTAAAAAATTAAGAGATTAATATAATTAATAAAATAGAGTTGAGAGTTCTAAATATAAAAAAATATTATTTTCTTATTCACTCAAATTTTTTTATCAGATTTTAAATTATTTATTATATTTAAATATAATTTAATTGACAAAAATCTTATAAAATTTTGAATCATACTCAAATACAAAAATAAATAATTATATTTGAATTTAAAATTTTTTAATTTCATCCAAATTAAACTTATTTACATTCCCGTGTCAAACATGTGATTATCGTTCTCGGGTTGAATTTATATATTTTCCGATAATTTTTTATTTAGCTTGTAACGTGCTGCGTCATTGGCTGTGCTTTCTACTGTGCACTTTGTTATAATCAATTCCGAGGACAAAGTTGTAACTTTACTAACTCTGGGAAACCGCACGTCAAACCGAGGACGAGGGTTCTTGAGACCGGAGTTACCTGGATGCTCTAGATTTTGCTTAGCAATCAAGTCAGGTATGTTTATTTTTTAGAAAATAATAATAGTAAAGCACAGAGAAGCTGCAAAAGGGACTTATCCACAAAACCCCTTAAAAAAAAAAAAAAGGGGAAAGCTAAAAATCAGCCCATGAAGGATCTAGTGCACACTTACTATGAATTCATAATGATTATTCTCATTTTTTTTTATATTTTGAATGTTTAAAACGAAGAAAAACCCATTTATAATTTTTAATTAAAAATAGTTTCAAAAATCTAAAAATAGTTAGGTACTGTTTCAGAAAGACCGAGTAGCTTTGGAAAATGAATTTTGGTAATTAATTTTATTTAAA